CCTACTACATTTCCATGGGTCAACATGACTCCCTTAGGATTACCTGTGCTTCCACTTGTGTACATGATACAGCACAGTTCAGAAGATTGAGGTTTGACTGGACTGATAGGATGTTGATGACCAAGCTCTTCAAGCTGTTCAAACGACATGATGTGCTTGATTTGACCAGAGGCTTTTATAGCATCCAAATGTTCGGATGTGGCCTCTCCTCTATAGATCACTGAATCAATCGAAGGACAGCCTGGTAAGATTTTGGAGAGAGTCGAAAGTTGATCACTATTCATAAAGCAGAGGTTTGCTTCTGATTCTGTAATTGAATGTTGAAGGCCTTCTGGCCCGAGTGTATCATAGGCTGTGACAATGGTCATTGCTTGACTAAATGCGCCTAAGAAACAGAATAAATATATACAGATACGGCCAATGCATCATTTTCACATTTACCGTGTGCCATCAACATCCACTCAACACTAACATTGTATTAGCATGAGCTGCCACTCTATCTACCTAACCTACCTTGTTGAAGCTGAAATTTGCACTTTACTCCCTTTTCTTAAACCGAGTTGAACAAGACCTGCACCCAAGGCCTTTGTCTTTTCTGCTACCTGAGCATACGAGTAGTAGTAATATGGACTTAACTCAAAATAGGTCCATGTCTTGTCCTCTTTCTTTTCTTTTCCATTGACAATTTTCGTTACTTGTTTTGTTTGAGTAATAGTATCTTGAAGTTTTCGGTAACCAAAAGCGTTGCGATGAGGGAACTGAACTGAAGCATATTGAAGAACGTCATAAAGAGTTTCAACACCTTGTGCAGGCGTAGTAATAAGTGTGTTGGGTGAAAGAATAGAGCGGTGCACAGGACCTTCGCCTGCAAGAGCTTCGGCAATAGGAATAGAGAATTTGTCTTGTAACATAAAGAATTTAGAAGAAATATAATCTTTTTTTTTCTTTTTTATGTCGGTAAAAACATTGTATCACCCTTTGTTCACAAGTATCACATTCTGTCTTTTATCCTGTTAGAGGCTTGAAAGAACTAGTTTAAAATGACTCATGATATTATATCATGAATAAAGAGAGCTCAATGATTACCCAATACAGTAAAAGGCTCAAGCTAAATACTTGATTTTTATCTCTCTTTTTTTTTTGATACAATCAATCATGGATACACATAAACATTCATCAAAAGATTCTTATGTACATTACATCACACATTAGAGAGTAGCTGGTTCTAGACTGAATAGGGTTATGCGTTTGTTCAAGGAGAGAGTGAACTTCTTACGCATCAATGTTTTGCCGTCTAGACTGTGACCGCCAAACATAAAGCCAAAAACCTCAAGTATTCGTCTGTCTCTTCCTTATACTAAACCAATGACACCAGCTGCTAACCAACTGGAAACTGTTCTTCGATACGCATATCTACATGGACTCAGTTCAGAGCAGGTAATTAAAGGAAATGTTGACTTTATGTGTTTCTTGCTAATGGCATGCATTTAGTGGTTAGAGCCTACCAAAGAGTGTTTGCAAATGGGTGATGTGAGCACAGAACTGTGTGGTAAACTAGTACCGAGACAAATCAATAACTCACTCTACATGTAGCCTTACTCCTTAACTCCATCTTTAGTTTTACACGCGTTTCTGATTCTTTGCTTGAATCATATGTCACTATTGCTACCACAGGCAAACCTAATCTCAATACAGAAAGCAGTAGCGTGTCATTACCCGTCATTGAACCCATCACATTCATCCATCAACTCGTACCATTTGTTGAATTAACAGCAAGCCAACACCCATATCAATGGTCTTACCTCTTGAAGCTCTTGCCTGAACTAGTATACTCTGTTGATACAGATACCATTACCACGGATCTTCAAAAAGGACAAGAGAATCCTTGGGTACAAGTGCTGACCCATGTGCTTGAAATCTTGTCTCATATTGTAGCTGTGGGTCTATATCCAGAATGGTATTCAAAATCGACTACTTCACCCAGTCTGGCAGCCAGTAGTCCAACCTTGGCTGCAGGTCTTTCTTTCAACAATCACGAGATGGGATTTGATTCCCAGTTCTCTTTTCAATCACAACATTCAATCAACTATGATGCCGATGCCACACTGGACATTGACAATACACAACGAATGGAAGACGACGATGTTCCTGTAAACCCAATCTCGCAATCAAACGCCCAAGACACGATAATGAAGAGTACGACCAGCTTACAAAAGTCAATAGAGATCGAAAATGCTGCTACGGCAGCACATATTATGATTTACCTGATCGAACAAAAGTCTGTCAAGCGTATCTTTGAAGTCTGCAATAATCAGAAACGACAAGCAGGCACAAGTTCAGATGAAGAGCCATGGGTTCAATGCCAAGCTAAGCTTTATCCCAAAAACCCAACGATAAAAGAAAACATATCACCTGTAGCATCACAAAACCCAGATATCCAGCGCTTACTTCAGCTTATTCAGCGATTGACAGACCGAGAATTAGAGAGACGCATGGCTGTACATATGAAATACCATGAATTAGAGGATGAAGGAACCGCAAGAGCCATGCCTAGTGCTGGCCTCATGGGTCTTTTGTATCATCTAGTGCAAATTAGACCTTCTTTAGATGATGAGCGTATTATAGATTACTTGACAAAGCTACAAAAAATCAAGGTAAATTGAATTCTATTTACATGACTATTCACTTCAATACAGGGCTCATTTGACGAGTCATTTTATTTGGAATTATGGTTGACTGCCTTGACAGGCCTTCGTGAAGCCTCTCTGAATACTAGCTGTCAGACACCTAATATGAACGAGAAGCAAGAAACCAGTTGTAATGCAGTGGTGGCCACAAACAGATTATTATGGAAAAGCCTAGTGCTTGTCAAAGTAAGAAAAGTACAGAAAACAGAGAGATGTTTAAACAGAACATAGTTACCTTGTTTAATTGAAAAAATGCAAAAGAAAAAGCAAGACAATCAGACTAGCGAGGTAGGCTATGTGCTTAATGCGTTTCACTCAATTCCAAAATCAAGTTTAATGCAATAGAATCTTCTTTAAGAGAGCTTAAAGCATTTACAGGCCTGATGAATGCTTGTAGCCCACCCGCTTGTTGTTCTGATTTTTATGCGCCTGATTCTGTGTCCTCAATGCTTGTGGACAAAATTGCATTTGGAGGTGATGGCGATGACGATGATGATGATATTATGAAGATGATCAATGACATAAGCTATACTTCTGATCTCAACACAGCTTCCATGATGAAGTCTATTCGAGCTATTAGTAACAATGACATCTTTACCAATATTGTACAGGTCTGTGAACGCTATGGCTTTGTGAGGCCACATATAGCAGTCAGTCTGTTGAAGCAGAAAGAAGACAGTATGATGGATATAGAAGACGAGATGGAGAAATCAAGCCCTATTGACTTGATTGATCAGGTAAAAGGAAGGCTTGAAGCACAAATGATACTAATTGATAGTAGAACATTGATGCAAGAATTGAAGTCTTAAGGAACAATGTGTCTTTTTCTGCTCTTACTGAACTTATTCATATTGGGCTTGTCTCACCTATTCATTTAAGCAGGATTCTTGATTTTTTGCTCGAATTGCTCAAGAAATGCTCTCTTCAGAATGACTTTTTCTCTCTTGCCAAGATATGTGAAGCATTGACAGAATGTCCTTGCAGTATAGATTTGATGCTTCAGTTGTACAATCCATATGATTTACTGGGACCTTTGGAGAGCATCTGCAACCATTGGACACCTACTACAGATGTTGATATGGATGTAGAAGAAAATGACAGTGAATTGGATGGTATTCAATTATTGTATAGTAAATTTGGCAAGATTTGGAATCTATGGACTTCAGCTGCAAAAAGATTCAAAGTAGGTTATTATTCACATACAACCTAGAAGGCTTATACTCTGCTTAGCTTTATAGAAACATGCAAGTCTTTGAGGAAAAAGATGGCTTTTTGTACGACTATTTTACTCAAGGCAGATTGATTTATGGTCGAGATGTTGATGATGATGAACAGATGGAATCACTTATCAATCATTGGATGGCTGCATTAGCTAGTAATAATGGACTATCTGATGATCTGTTAAGGTAATAGACGCACCATGCAACATATGACTAACGTATTTGACAGATCAACTCGACCCCAGCATCTTGTAGTGATTGTACCTACCATTATTCATCGTAGCATTCTACTTTATGCTGCCAACAAACTCAGTCAGGACACACTCATAAATATGGTTTTATGTTTCTTCAAACCTTTCCTTCATTTCACTATATCAACTGTCATTTACGCACTTTGTGATGAACTCCTTAACAGCCCACATTCTTCTATTATCCTCACTTGTCTGTCTCGGATTATTCTTTCTATGGACATCCCACGCGATACCAGTCTCCACCCTGTTCTAGGTACACTTGAATCTTTGAATGAATTCAATCGACAAGCAGCTACTTTGGAACCTGAAGCTGTCAAGAACATGACTGAACTCGAACAATTTATCTCGACAAAAAAGATGGTCAAAATCACAGCTGATATTGAGACGGTCACGACAGGTGTTACACCCAATACACTGTTTGAAAAAGCATCGCTTATGTTCAAGTACATTGTCAAAAGCGGGCGATCCATGTATATGAGTGATGTAGACGCAGATACACACTCGTTATGGGACACGCAATCCAGAATGCAAGTCGTTTCTCATTACCTGGACATGGTGTTGTTTGAGACAGCTTTGGAAATTGGAGGTGGACATTGGTTTGTCAGTATGATTGTGGATCAAGTATTGGAAGCCGGTAAATGTGGTGGTGCTGTACGGGCAGGTAAGCAATGTGACAATATAATAACTTTGCTTACACTTCAACATATAGCTGAACTGGGTTCTTGCCTTATCACAACACCTCTTTTGTACTCTAATAATCGCTACAATAGCTGTATTCATCTGCTTCGATGTTTATTACAAGATGTTTTGCCTTCAATGCTACAAGAAAGCCCAGAACAAAACATGTCTTATTTCCAAGGCCAAACACTTGGTGTATTTACAAGTAATTGCCTTGTGTTGATGCAAGATCAACATGAGTCTATAAATCAGCTAGGCAAATGGTTTTTTGATGCTTTGGTCATAGACTTGGATGATAGCCAAAACAAAAAGAAGATCAAGGTGCAGGACGATATAGAAGACACCAAGTTTGCTGAATGGAATGATGCTGTTACAAAGAGTGCAGTGTGGAGAGGGTTTATTAAGGGCTTAATGAGTAATCCAATAATTGAAGAAGTTTGGCCGAATGCCTTCTTATGATATATATACCATGTACATAGATAAATAATAATAAAAATTCGATATTAAAGAGTAAGTGTACAATTAAATGGTTACAAGTGATGCTTGCTTGTTGTCGTTGTCTTCAATTCTGTAGTTTCCTTGTCCATCAAGACGAACAAGTGTCGTGTGAAGCTGTAAAACGTTGGGGTGATGACTGATACTTATGACTGTGATGCTATTGTCTTTTATCAAAGCATTGTACAAGTAATTCTCAGTCTCGTAGTCCATAGCACTTGTCGCTTCATCTAGTACTACAAATTGAGGCTTGCGGTGAAATACACGAGCAAGCACTAACCGCTGTTGCTCACCAGGAGATAAAAACTTGTTCCACTCTTGGTGGCTATAGTTTTTATCAAAAGAATCAAGCAATTGTGTAAGGTGATGAAGGCGCACCTTACTAAGTAGTTCCAAGATTTTTTGATTGTCGACTATGCAATTTCAAAAGTAAGTATGATTTGATTACATTTTGTGCTTATACTTGCTTTCTATAGAAGACGTGTTTGGGTACAGCATTTGATCTCTTAATGATCCTTCTATCAAGTAAGGTACTTGTGGTAAAAATAAAACATCTCGAGACATGCAAATACGTCCTTCACTGCAAGGCCATAGACCAGCAAGAGCACGAAGAATAGATGTCTTGCCAGAACCTTTTTTTTTTTAGCTTAATGTTCAATTGTGATTTGATTGCTGCTTACCGTTAACACCAACAAAGGCAACATGATTGCCTTGCTTAATCTTCAAATTAAAGTCATGCACAATCACTTTTGAGTTTGGAGAAACAAGCTTCACATCCTCAATTTCGATTGAGTCGCTTGAATAATCTTGTCGATGTGGGCAATCGATTTCAATATTATCGAGTGTATAGGATACAGAGTCAAATGTCTCTAAAATTTCACCAATACGAGCTGTATAGCCTGCAAGGTCAGAACACTTGCTGGATTGTTCAATGATACTTGTGAACAAAAAGATCAGATACATAAAGACAAATGAGTTCTATTATTCCCCCAAGGTTTTTTTTAGTGAAAAGTAATCTAAACTTTTTGTTATTACTTACGGCACTAATGATACTACTCAGCTCAGTGGCATCCTTTCCATCAAGTGCACCAGTAAAAATAGGGATAGCAATGATTAGATAGCTAAAGATAGAACCTATATAAGCAAAGCTCTGATTGGCAACTACCGAATTCATGTCAATCATTCTATATACTACAAATGCCACCTACTGGCAAGAGGAAGCTCCTTGTTCACAACAGTGCGTTGATAAGCAAGTAATGTATCTAAGCTTTTTTGTGCTCTTGTGTGTTCTTCATCTTCACCGCCGCAGAATGCAATAGATTCTGCAAACTGTCTCAAACGAACATGGAGATAACGGAAATTGCCTTCTTGTAGTTCCTTGAAAAAGACAGCGCCAACGATAGGCTGGACTAGTTTTTGACTAACTAAGGTACCCAAAAAGAAGTAAAGAAAAATAATCAAAGGACCTAGGAACCCAGTAACAGACCAGCATTTATATGTATAATAAATCACCATGATAGGAGCAATGATGAGGTTAGTCACTATTTGACTTAGTGTCTCAGCAAACTTGTCGATGTCTTGTGTAATTCGCTGGTCACTAGCTGTTTCTTTAGTTTAATTGTATATATATATTTGACAAACATACGGATTATCAATGTCTTGATGGTTGACAACGGCATACATGGATTTGGGTCGAATATATTGATTGTGCACATATTTAGTCAACAATCTTCTAGTTTTTATAGCAAACAATCCCATCATAAAGGACAAAAAAGCTTTAACCTACGTATTTGTTCAAAATCAATGCAAACAGAATATACTCTCACCTACAGCTGCTATACTAAAGACAAGAACCATGGATGGTATCAAATATTTAAAAAATCCGGCTAAATCTCTTGTGGTAAGGATTGAATAGAATTTGCTTGGTATCATGCCCACATATGTCACAAGAAATTCGTATCCAAGACTCAGAAACATAAAGGCTATGTATAACCAAAAAACACTGTTTTGGCGTGCCTGTTTTTCTGTAGACCATGCCCGATGAGGCGAATTTAATATGATCTTCAAGATTCTGTAGAGTCGCTCGAAAAAGACACTATCAAGTCTATATGTGTGCTGTTTTTGGTTTTGTTCATTGCCTTCTGTCGCAACCTCGAAAAAACTAAAGTACCCTGATCTCTCTCTAGTGCTCATCTGCTGAGATCTACTCGAGAGAAAAATACAAAAATTTTGGTTTATTGAGTTTCTCTTCGGAATTTGAACAAACAATGTTCTGCTTAGGTAATCTCTGGCGCCATGCTCTTGCCATTAACTTTCGAAAAAAGACTACAAATCCTTTGATTCAGCCCTTTAAACTCTGAGACAGCTTTATTCCCCAATAATTGATTCAAGAAGGTGAATAATCACCTCAAGCTAAATATGGTTGTTGACGAAAAGAATTGAATCTTAAAAAGTGAGAAATACAAAGAAATTCCTATACAGAAGAACTCCTATCATAATCACAATGCCGAGAAGGACCTAAACACTAAATAAAATAATTTAAATATATATTTAAAGCCCTAGTATTTTTGATTTTCTGTTACGACTCTTTTGACTAACAAGTAGCTCTTTCCGACTATCACTGTACATTTAGTGAAAACTTAGGGAGGCGATTTGTACCAGTTTCTTTTAAGTGGTATTCCTTACTGAATACTTCAGACAGACGGAGAGACTCTTTCACTGATCCCTTTGTGAAGACGCCAGTACTTGAACTGATTTGAAGTCTGAGATACTTACGTAAAATAGATTGATCAACTCCTATTTATTCTTCTTATAATGGCTAGTCAATGACATTGACATTGTGAAGGCCTTTGAAGAAGCAAGAAAGGAAGCAGTAGCAACACTACAAACAAAGGAATACATTTCCGAGCCATATTATCTGTAAGACATCTAATCTGACGCTTGTTTTTCCCCATCTGTGTACTTACGCGATTTCTCCTTTATTTTCTCACTTAGAACCTTGCCTTATATCATTGGTATACCAGTGCGTTAGGAGAACACCCCGTCCACTCCAATTTCCACTCCTAAAGAAAACATAAATGTATACATCCTGAAAATAAAACTATTATTAGTTTCAAAACATCTCTGTTCTTTTCATTTTGTTCTGCAATGTTTTTCTTTACATAAATAAATCATCTGCCTTTAATTCACATGCATTTGATAAATTAGCGGTTTCTTTGGGTGATAAACGATAAAAGTATTTTGATAAATAGTTCCCCCCCTTTCTTTTTCTTTTTCATAAAATGGTTACAGCTACTTCCTCTTCTTTAAAAGAATATATATTCATGCAAAAGTGATCGCTTTTTGGAGTGAACATTGGATTGGACGGATTGTTTGCCGCAAGCTACGGGTCTTTGCCCTCCCTATTGACCGAAGAACTTTCGCTTGTCTTCGTAAGGCTTAGAGGCCAAGAAAAGAAGAACTTGAGTTTGACGACTCTGTCATGCTCAAGTTCTTAGAGGTGAAGAAGTTGGCTGATGAGGTCACAGGTGAGAGTGACGTTGGAGATGATGAAGAAGTTGAAGAAGAGCTTGCTGACTTGATACATGACTTACACAAGCATTCCATCAAGTCTAAAAAGGCTTGTCACATGGCTTCAAAGTAGGTGTTAGAATCCTTGCTGTCGTAGATGAAGAATTGGAAGGTGGAGTGTGCTTCTGAAGATGCTTTCATTGATCAACATTTGCTGGTATTCCTTGAAACCATTTTGTCCAAGACAGCAAGTACAGTCATTCAAGGTAAATGTTTACTAAATAACTGAATATATGTATTTGATATTGTTATCTAATACAAGTAAATAGGTCAAGCGGCAGGATACCATGCCAAGGCTCCGGCTTTAAAAGAAAAAGTACCACTTGCAGCAAAAACCCAAAAATGATTGATGCCTTGGAGCCTGACTTCTTGCTGTACACCAACGAGTATCAAGAAGAATATGACTTGCTTTCGGTCGAAGTCAAGAAGCCTGACGCCAAGGTCTCTCAGGCCTTGAGCGATCTTTCAGAGATGGCTCTTGAGCTGAAGAAAATGATTGACCATCATGTCCTTCTGGGAGTCTCGTCTCCTAAATCTTTTGGTCTTGTTGTTGCTGGTATGTGTTCAAATTAAAATGATAATTATCCAAAAAAAAATAGGTGTTCGCTGTGATGTCTTTTTTTGTTCATTAAATAGCCATGGGCTATACAAGTTCTTTGAACTTGAGAGGTTCTATTTGCCTCGCGATCAATTTGGTTTTGCAATAGTTCCTGCTGTCATCATCACTTTGTTGAGACTGAAGGCAAGTTTACGTTGTTGTTTGACCCATTCATTATTCACTAACACATCAATTTTAAAGAACTTGGTGGACAGGGATGCTGCTGAACTCAACAAGAAGTCAAGAACAGATTTGTCTTCGTCCTTGTTGGCCAATTTGGTCAAGCCCTCGATCGAATAACCAACCAAAAAGTCAACAAATAAAAAATAAGTTGTTTTCTACTGATTTCTTTTTCAATTCTTGTGTTGGCTATTCATCTTTCCTTTCTTCTAAAGGCCAAAATACTTTACATGCTTGCCAATGAGTTTTGGAATACTCAGAAACGAATTGGTACAAAAAAAAACGAAGTATAATTGGCACGGCTGAGATTCCTCTGTTATTGGCTTTTGTCACCAACAGCTCTCTTTTCAATGCATGTAGCTCTTTTCTTTGATTCCATGGTTTCGCTTACCTTTGTTTTTATAAAGAAGGTGCGTTGTGACTAAATCTTTTTGTTCCTACATTAATTGAAGATTGAAACAAAAAAGGGACTAAGCTACTCTTCTTTAAATGTAATCGTCTATATTGCAGCAAATCAATGGGAAAAATATTTGGCTCGTATTGAAGAATTGTGTGCAAGCAAGTGGCTCAAGCAATGCAAGCGCACTTCTGAAGGCTTACTTATGAGCCAAACTCGTGAGTGTCATCGTCATGGTCACTCTACGCCATTCAGATCCTCAAGAATCAGTTCAAAGGATTCTAAGAAAGTTGGATTTAAAGCTGCTTTAAGTATCTTGCAGTTTAAGAATGACTCTTTAGTCGTTCAAATCAAAGTACCAATAGGTCATGGATTTCATGTTCCCAGAGAAGAAGGAGATTTCCGAACTCTTCCTTTGACTACAGAAACAGTTCAGGTCATTGAGAGAAACTTGAAAAATGGCACCAACCGCATAGGCATTAAAGCTGCAGTCCTTCGCCGGATTGAACGTTGGGGAAATGGAATTAGAAAGCCAACTATGAGGATGTTTATAACAGAATAAGAGATGTGCGATGCTTCAAAAGAATGAGAATACATTTAGTTAAACAGTAATTTTATCTGAGTAGATCAAAGAGAGTCTTTATCGTTTCGATACAAATGATTTTGTATCACTCAACATCTGGCTTAATCGTCACTTGCCGCTTAAGAACTATGCCATTGAAAACTGCAATATCCAACTGTACAACAGCGATGATAGAATCTTTGTTCGTGGTTCTCCATCTCTTGTTCGAGTAAGAAAAATATCAATGAACAAGTCTTTCTGCCTGGATGCCGCTCACAGCATCTCATCTAGAAGCACAGAAGTGCTGTACAATCTTGTTGCTCGGAATTCCCAAACCCAAAAAGGATATCCAGTTGCTTTTCTGATCACAGATAATCAAACTGTTAGACCATTCAATCAATGTCTAACATTTTTGAAGTAACAAGGTGCGTCAATCCGGAGACAATCACCATTGATTACTATGTGGCAGAACTCAATACCATTCGTAACGTACTGGAAGGCGTCTATGTCTATTATTGTGGATTTCATGTCCTCAAAGTTTGGAGAAAAGCATTAGATCGCAAGATCAAGTTAAGTGGTGCTCACACTCAAGAAGAAGTGGGCACTTACAAGAAGCAGTTGGAAGGGTTAATCACCCAACTTCTTCATGAAGTATAAGTAGCACCGCTCAACGAGCTGGTCGCTCAATTTGAAAGCAAATTTAAAGATGGTCAATCAGATTCTTTGGACTACTTCCAAAACCGATGGACGCAAACTGAGGAGCTGGAAGGCTGATGGAGTCAAGCATACATGCCTGAGACACATAGAAATATGCTCACTAACAATTACATCCAGTCGCGGCATAACCAGCTTAGGACTGTATATTTTAGTAGATGCAAAATTAATTGACTAGAATATTTGACTTTTGTCTCGGTTAATGATGTTGAGTTTTATTTCGCAGAGGAAAGAGAATGTATCTTGTTCAATAATGGCAGAATGGGGCTGGAGCAAAACGAGCAAGCTAAGCGTTCATTTTTTGCTAGTGAAGTCTCTACAGACCAATTGCCTTCTCTTATTTAAAACCCATTGGGAACGAACAACAGTGATATTGCTATCGTCAATGGGAACTGGTTTGTGGGTTCTTTGACTTCCTCATCTGTCAGGTAATCCGTCAATGTCAATGATGTTTTAATTAGCAAATGTATACGTCCTGGTTATAGGAAGAGAAGTTTGCCATGTAAGCACATCTACCTTCTCAAAAGATACACCTCACTCGCTTTGAAATATAATAAAGAAAGAGTTGAAAGAACGAATGCTTTTAGAGAGGAAGAGATTGTAAAAGTAGATGAGCGCATTTTTTAAAAAGAGAGAAATCCAAAACCTTAAACAGCTTTTTTAGACTAAGATGTTGATATTGAAGGCAATGATGAAGCTGAAGCTCTCATTGACAGTTAGCATCAATAATGTGGACCCAGTGGAATCTGTTTAAGGATTCGTTGCGATATATCGTCAGTGTGATAGACGATCCTATTACAATTGTGGAATGCATGTTGCTGAAGCTTGCAGTAAAGATAACACTGGTAAAGTGAAAGAAAAAATACTGTAACTTGTATAATTCGTGTCTTTCATGCATCCTGGGACCCAGGTTTTCTTTCCGTAGGGATTGTTGTATATATAGCTATTTATATGACTATTGTTTAAGTTACTCTGTACCTTATTCAGCTGCAAATATATTTAGGGATAGAATTGGCACTGAATTCTGAATTTATACTTTTGGTTATCGCTGCAAAATATACAATAGATGCCTTATGCACCTTACATCCTTAAAAATATCAAGTATCGCGTTTAACAAAATTTAAAGAAAGTTTCTTGGTTCAAACAGGAAGCTGTCATGAAATGACTGTTTCATACTAAATTCTGGCAGCTTCTTGTATCACAAAGTGCTTGTTCTTTTATTTTGAATCTCAATTACTTTATATCAAATTTAACTTTGGCATATATTGCCCTGTTACATCTACTGTCCTATATTTCTTCAAGCTACTGTGACATCTACTGTTATATTCCAGTCGCTTGCGTCAATCGTAGTCTTTCTCTTGTGTTTGTCTCTTCTCTTTTCTCATTTGCTACATCATTATTAATAAAACCCATCTTGTTACTTAATTTTCGTATTGCTTTCTCATTCTACTTGAAAATCCTACTTTTCGACATGATTCTTTTACTTGTTAGAGTAATTTTACAACTCAATTAGTTTTACTTTATTACAAATAGAATTGTTTTATCTTAACAAGTTCATTATGACTCATATCTTTTTACTTTAGAATTAATAACCGTTCAAATCATTATTCAATAAAGGTCAGAAGAAATATTTTCACATTACTTTACTTTTACTTTGACCGCTTGGGTTACTTATTAGGTTGTTGGTATCGGCTTAAATATTCATTTTTGTCCATTTGCCTTCTTGGATATTGACATAGGAAGGTCTTTTACTTTATTATATCTATTTGAACTTTTATTTCCTCTTTTACTTGAAAGTTCGTTACCTTAACAGTTTGGTGCTCATTACATACAATCGTTCCCTTGCTTTGGATTCTACTGTATGAACTCTTCTATACTTTACTGGTATAAAAAACAAGTTTTATCCCGTAGCAATAATTTACTAACAGATCTGGCTACAAACACCTTAGGTCTCCGCAAAAGCAAAAGAATTATTCCCCAACGGGGAATCGAACCCCGGCCGTGTCGGTGAAAGCGACAAATCCTAGCCACTGGACCATTGAGGACTGACATATATTGTCAAATTGATATTTTCTTAAGGTTTGTGTTCAATAGTACAGGTCAGGTGACGATAGAATATTTTCTAGCCAATGATATTACTGGGAAAATATTCTAGAAGGCAGTGACGTCTGTGTTTTGATAAAGTAAGTCTTAAGATCTTTTATTATTTTTATATTTTTATATTACCTGTGTTTTGATAAAGTAAGTCTTAAGATGAAGAACTTACATCTATCAACAACACAGTATTTATATCTTTTCTATTCATACTAAAATATGTATTCTAAATCAAATAAAGAAGGAAGTAATTATATACTTCGTGTTGATTGATCCTTGCTTCTTGACGAATACGACAACAGCTTGGCTTTCGCTAAAGGCAATTTCCTTATACGAATCAAGTTCAGCTTTGACTTCTTTCTTCTATTGTTGGTTATCTGAGGTTTAAACCTTTTCTTGTTTGGTTTATACATATACGGAAGGTTATATTCAACCTCGATTGGCTGTCTTTGTTCAGAAACGCTATTATCCGCGACATTACCCCCCTCCTTGTGATGTTTGGGTTGTGAATGAAGATAGAATAGAAGATAGAAAGAAAACAAAGAAATACAGTGAGACTGTTCAGTACTTCTTTATTACAAAAATAAATTGATTGTTCTAAAATATATCTTTTCCAGGTTGTCTTTTATACTACCTGATTTATTGACTAATTATGATTACTGATTATTGATTACTTAACACCTTGACAGCGTGTGCCTGGGAATTGATTATATAAATTCTCCTTTAATTCTCCTTGTTACCTAAAAGGTACAATTATGGTTTCCTTATTTGTAAATATCCATATTATCCCAGTTACCGTTATTTACTGTCATTATACAGTGCTTACTTTATATTTATAATGTATAGTGCTATAAGTGATTATTCATTTATATGATGAAAGATTATTTATTATATTTTGTATTGAAAGTGCTCAGATCACCACATTATCCCCTCCCAGGTATTGACTAATGCCGTCAAGTTTAATTAAGATCTTTTTACTCTTTTATTTTTATTTTTAGAGTTGATGTGATCTGTGCTTTTACTTGTACGCATTTTTCTTTTTCTTGGTTGAGAACTTATTTGTGTTTTTTGATCTGTTAATTCTTTCAACATCTTTTTATTAGCTTTATTTATAGCTGTAATGCTTTCAGGAATTTGACCTATTCTTCTCCAGTATTCTAATATGAATTTTGGATCTGTGAAGTTTTCAGCAGGCTCCCAAGTATCTTCTGATTCATCATAGTTTAACCACCTACATCTATATTGATAATCATTATTCTCATCTTTTTATGTCCTATGATAGCTTCCACTTCATAATACTTTTCTTCTTTAGAAAGTATCTTATCAGATACGACCTTTAATAATGAAGGTGGGTAATTTCTAGGTTCAATAAATCCTTTTTCATTTTTTAGGACATATGTACCAGCTGATGTTTTTCTGACTACTTTATAGTATCCTTTATAGTGAGGATCTAGTTTATTTTGTTTGTCAGTAACTAATATCATAACTGTGGCATCTACTGGAATATCTAACATTTTATACTTAATGTCAAATTTCTCTTTTGTTTATCTGTTACACGCTTTGCTTGTTCATAGACAGCAGGGAAGACTATTTCAGTCATGTATTTTATTTTTTGTTGCAAATCCTTATTTATTTCCTCAGTTGTTTTTATATCCTTTTCTTGACTGAAGTCTTCAAAGTCATTAGGATTTCTACCAAACATTAAAGAGAATGGAGTGCTTTTTGTTCTTACATTATATTTACTGTTAAGATATAATTGGGTCGGTCCTACCATGTAATCCCATTCAGCCACATTTCCATTTATTTGTTTCTTTATGGTTTTTACAGCTGATTGAACCGCTCTTTCACTTGCACCATTTGCTCTTGGATGATATTGTGAAATTAATGCGTGTTCGAAACCGATATGTTTCTTTATGGTGTTCATTAAAAACCCAATAAATTCCTTCCCATGATCGCTTTGTAACTTCCTCATAGGTCCGAAGGTGCAGATAACATTCAGTATCTCTTTAGCAATAGTTGCAGCTGATTTATCAGGTATAGCTCTCAATATATAAAATTTGCTAGCTATATCTATCATGACTAACAAGTATTCATTGCCTTGAGTCGAGATGGTAAATGGACCAGCTAAATCAATTCCCCAACTGTCACCGGGAAGCGTAGCTAACACAGGTCTTAATGGATTATACCCTTTTTGACTGATATTGTGACGTTGACATTGTATGCATGCCTTAACTAATTCAGTTGCATCCTTCTTAAGATTTGACCAATAGTATCCTTTACGCTTTAGTGCATTCAATAGAGCTTCACTTCCAAAATGCCCTTTACTATGCTCATGATTAAGGAGTTTATCACGTTCTTCGTGAGTAGCAGGTGTAAAATACTCACCACTTTCTATGCTTGGTAGAGGTTCATTACTTGCAGCACTATTTCGCATAACGAGCTTATCCCCTCCCAGTTCATTTGACAAGGGAAAATCATTCTCATAGAGTCTGGATAGAACATCCGGTAGAACATTCGAAATACCAGGCAAATGAACGACTTTGAAATCATATTGAAGGATTATATCCATCCATGAAATCATCATTGGGTTTGCAATGCGTTGAGTATGTAAGGAAGTGAGTGCTTTATGGTCTGTATAGACGGTTAAAGGAGAACCATATATGTATTTGTGAAAACGCTTCAATGAGAAGACTAAGGCAAGTAGTTCTCTCTTATTAGTTGAATATTGGCGTTCACTTTTGGATAAGCTTTTAGCAATAAAAGAGATATATTTAATTTTGTCATCAACTTTTTGGTATAATACTGCACCAATGCCAGTGTTAGAAGCATCACTTGCTATATAGAAAGGAGCGTTCATATCTGGATAGGCTAACACAATATCACTTAGCAGAGCCTTCTTCAGATTTTCAAAAGCACGTTGATGTTTATGAGTCCACAGTCCATCCAACGATTTCTGATTGCGAAGTGAGTCCAATGGAGCCATTATAGTAGCCACATGAGGAATCAGATTGCGAAAATAGTTGATGAGACCACAGTAACGCATTATGTCTTTACCAGTTTTAGGTTGAGGGAACTCTAGAACATTGGCAAGTTTGCGTCGATCCATACTAATACCTTGAGGAGAAATGTGAAAGCCCAATAAGTAAATCTTCGACTGGAAGAAATGGCATTTCTTAGGATTCAACTTAAGATTTACATTAGTCAAACGTTGGATCACCTGTTTTAAATGATTTTTATGTTCCTCTACAGATTTACTTGCA